CTCTTTCCCCCTCCCCTCAGCACATCGGTCACGTACAACACCTTGCCAAGGATGTCTCGCCCACCGAGGCCTGCCCAGCACGTAAACAAGCCTCAAAGCTGTCGGCCCAACGCCCTTAGCATAGAAAACCGGTCGACACTCCGCGGCCCTCGAGCCCTAGGCCCCTCAGCCAAAGATAGGCCTGCGACGTTCTAGAAGCCCGCAGCACAGCGGGGGAGGGGAGGGTGGGGGAGGGGTGCTCTAGCCTAGCGGCCCTCTGGCATCAGCAGGACGGGGGCCTAAATCGCACGGAAGGGTCCGGAACAACCCCCAGGACCCAGAGCAGCCCGATCGCAGACATGTCCTCACCTTTCTTGGGCACCCCGCGGCTGAAGCCGCTCCGGGAGCGCCTGCTGTTCTTCCACTTCCTGACGGGGTGCACGACGCCGCCCGGGCCCCCCGGCGCCTCCTTGGTCAGGGACCGCACGTTCCTCTTGCCTTTGATCTTGATGCGGTCCGCCAGCGCCTGGGCGCCGCCCGCGGCCGCCACCGCCTCGCCGTTGACGCCCTTCCTGCCGGGGCTTGCGGCGGCCTCGCCATTTTGGTCGCCACCCTCCTCGGCGAGCTGCTCGCAGTCGCTGCCGTTCGCAACCTCGTCCTCCATCATGTTCGCGGCGTCACCCTCTCCCCTCACTCGAGCAGACAGACTGGACCGTGAGGCGTGCTGCTGGACGTGTCTCGGGCCCCGTGTGCCTTTCGCAGTCCCTTTCCCCTGCACGCCACGGCCCTAACGCGCTTCTACGTCGTACTTTGCTGCGTCGTGGGGTTCTCTCGCCAAGCTCGCACTGTGCTCTGCGCAGAGCTGCGCAGCTGGGAGCCCGTTCCGTGTTGTTTTTGTTTTGCCACGATGTTTGGTGGCGTCGTGTCCGGGGTGGTGGTGGTGGGGGAAGCAGACGCTCTCGCCACTCCAGTTGCCTCGACGCCCGGCAGAGCGCGCTGGGCACCAGCACCACGGCGGCCTTGATGGCCTACCACACCCTCCAGATCGAGCGGGCGCCATATTTAAACCAAGAGACGATTGATTCCGTATGCAGCCCGCGGGTGGATATGTCCCCGAAGTTCGTTCGTGACTAGTGTCATTGTCCAACCACCCCGTCATTAATGCAGGGTCAGATTGGATCGCTCAACGAGCATGGCGCGAGCGACCGATTTGAATGATAGTACACCTCTCAGCTACGATCCAAAAAGTTTCAAGAGTGCACGACTGACAAGTTTTGGTACCTGGAGCGGTGTAAGAAGCCTGTTGGGTAATTCTCGAAGTTGGATAAAGGACTTTCTCAACTAAAGGCAAAAATAACATGAAGGCAAGATGTATTTCACCACATAAAATTATTTCAAAATGAAAAGGTATGAGGAACACTCATTTTTCTTCTATCATACATGACAGCAAACACGGCTAATCACAAGGAAATTACACAAGGTGCATGGTAACATCACAGTAACACCAACTGGCACACATGATAAAACTGTCTAAATGCAGAACAGTCTCCAATTGATACATTAATGTCAGTTTACATGAGGGAATGAAGATCAAGTTGAATAGGTAGCCACAAGAAAAAAAATTTAAGTTAAAATGGCTAGTTGCACAGGTGTTCATGACAGCTGGCCACAGTCAGCAACAACCACCTTCTTGGAGGTCTTGCCATCGTGGGAGCCGAAGGATTCCAACTGGAAGGAAAATAAAAACGAAGGTTATTAAGATGTCACTTGCAACTGCAACGTTGTACAGAAATTAAAATTGCTTTACCTTCTTCACGACATCCATGCCCTCAATCACACTGCCGAAGACGACGTGCTTGTTGTCGAGCCAGCTGGTCTTCACAGTGGTAATGAAGAACTGGCTGCCGTTGGTGTTGGGACCAGCATTGGCCATGGACATGATACCTGCAATTCAAACCAATTAAAAGAAGCCCCAATCAAACCAAATAAAAGTAACCAAAACTTGCTGCTTACCAGGTCCGGTGTGCTTGAGCTGGAAGTTCTCGTCAGCGAACTTGCGACCGTAGATGGACTTGCCACCAGTGCCATTGTGGTTGGTGAAGTCACCACCCTGGCACATGAAGTTGGGGATGACACGGTGGAAGATGGAGCCCTTGTAGCCAAAGCCCTGCTCGCCAGTGCAGAGTGCCCGGAAGTTCTCAGCAGTCTTGGGGACAACATCGCTTCTCAGCTGAAAAGAAATATTCAACGTTTATTATTGATGCCAAGAAACGACAAACAGAGGTGCTAAGTTTTGACACAAGTTTCAGTTACAGACCGTGGCACCCGCACCCACCGACCGGGGCCGGTGGTCACCCTAGGGGTTAGGGGCACCCCATCACACAAGTCACGAACAACTCCTCAACCATTAGCTATCAATTTCCCTCAACCACAGGTCGGCCGTGTCCGCCCCGCAGCCTGACCGCGACCCCTCGGCCCCGCCGCGGTGCGACCTTGAGATGGGCCACTCCCGCCGCCGTATCGACCATGAACTCGATAATTGGCAGGCAAAAAAAAAGGGCGCCTTTAGGTTAGCACACCCTCGGGAGGCGCGCGCCGGGGCGCCCAGGGCGCCGCGTCCTCGAGGGGCTCGCCGGCCGCGAACACCACGCGGGGCCGCCGCGACACCGCGAGCTAACGTTAATTGGCAAAGCGGCGCAGAGAGGACGGCCGAGGCCCCCGGCAACAAGTCAGCGGCTAAACCGTGACATGGCGGACGCGGGGCCCCGACCGCCCAGCGAGCCCCACGTGGTGACGGACGAGTTTAAGGGCGAACCCGGGGCCCGCGGACGCAAAACGGACGAAAAGGGGCACTCGGTGGCGTTGCTGGGGCTCGGGAAGGGCCGCGGCCGGCGGTGACTGGCCGATCTGGTGGTACAGTAGGCGGCGGGAGAGAAACGCCGGTAGGCCTACGCGCCGCCTCCCACGGGTCCCGAGCTTGGGGCACACACACTCACACCCGGGGGACACGCCCGGGAAATAAAAACGGCCAGAAAAAGCACGACTTTTACTCTTCGTCACCGACTCACCTCAATCACGATCCTGCCGGCGGGCTGGCCGTCGACGGTCATGTCGAAGAAAACGCGTGGGAGGGACATGGCTTCACAAAGGTTCCTCACTGCCGGTAGACACAAGGAGACTGGCAGAGTGCGGCACGCGAACTGGCCGAGGAGCGGACGCGAGAGCGAATGGCGGATCGACCTGAGCGCAAGTGCCATTTCACTGGTCCGGGAGTGAGAGAGAGGGGACTAGCGGCGCGGCTCCTAGGGGTCGACAGCGGGTGCCTTGGACGCACAGATGACTCGCTCTGCCCTAGACACGCAACGACTCGGCCCACGGAGCGTTAAAACGCGACAAGGTGACCCAATATTGAGAAATTCAGGGTCTTTACTTTCCTCGGCGGATGAATGGTTGGGCTTTCCGAATCGGAACTACACTCTCTTTCCGGCCGGGTGTAGCCCCCGTTTTAACCGTAATTTTCACCCGCTCGCGTCCCTGCAACTACTCTGCCGGATTGCGAAGAACGGGGGCAAAATATAAAGGCCGACATTTATTTCGAGCCATGTCGCGAGATTAAACGGGAACAACATTGATTTCGAAATTACAGAATTTTTCGCATTTGAATGCCACTACTCTAAGCGGAAGTACTTTGGCAGTAGTAGTCAAAGCAACATCGTTGTAAACTCCGTGAGCGGAATAGTAAACGTCTTGTCGTTAAAACGTGTACATCCTTCGTTCTATTAATTTAATTCTATTTTTTCTTACAGCTTGCGCCGTGTAAATCTGGGCCCTTTCGCCAAATTCGGCAAAGACTGGCGACTTGCTTGACCACCCTTGTCGCTACGGTGCGTCAGTCAATGACACCATCTTGACTTGTTTGTGTTCGTACGCTCGCTGGGCGATTGGGCGCTACCATAGTTGTGTGAAATTTGTCTCGTAGGCCGTTTAATTATCGGAAAGGAGAGGTCCTTTGCTTTACGCCCCAACTGCCGTCGACTCAAGTAAGTACTGTGTGGAATTCTCGTGTGCCTTCAGAGTATTTTCAGTGTAACAAACATGGGTCTCTGAGCCGGTAGATTGAGGCACGAAAGACAAGCATGGCTTCTCGCTTGCCACTGATTGTAGAGATAATGTCAGTGACCGTTTTAGAACCAATTAAAGTGCTTGAAAAATTTGTGTGTGCCCCGTTTTAACTACACGTTGAAATTTGGATTGTGTCCAAAGGGTATGTTACACCGATTTCCATTCGACCATCTAGCAGCCATAACCTATTCGTAACACAGTAGCATAGACTATTGCACGTTGTTTTCCTTTCAGTCTTGTTTAACGTCAAACTGGGTGAATTAGTTGTTCTGATTTTTTTACTTCTCTTTCCTAATGAGTGTGTTTACATTGTAACTCCATACGTATGCTGTACGTATTTGCTTTGTTCAAATAGGCTGCAATACCCCTAGTAGTTCGCGAGTCAACCGGTTTGTGGAAAGACAAGTCGTTTTGTAGATTGTTCTTAGCCAGCATCAAACTTGTATTTTGTCATTATTTTTTTCCTCGATTAATGTGCTATTGAGATGGATTAGTGGTGTAATAGTTGCAGCTGAATGTTAGTGTGTGCGCGCGCGCTATTTCAGTAGGCTGTGTGCCATAGAGTATTAGTATAATGTGATTGCGCATTCTTTGTGCTGACCGATATTTGTCCCTAACTGAGCGATAACAGACCAATTAGTTAAAATTTACTCTGCAAGTGCCACCTTCTTATGAGATAAACGTCATTTTAGCTGAACTACTTCTTGGTGACACACAATTGAGGTTAAGGTCGTCCAAGCATCTAAAGTAGTGCCTATCAAATTCACTCATCTTTGTTTAATTGATAATTGTAATCTTTCAAACTATTAAAAGAATACTTAAGTATGGAAAAGAATTCGAGAGTTCGTTTTATTAGTCAGTAAATTTCTTCCATGGGTTTAATTTTTTTTTTACTGTATAACTTGGGAAAGAAGAGATTTCGAGCGTTTGCACATTATGCAGCTCTATATATTCAATTTCTTAGTATTATACTTTAAAAGTACTATTAGTCTAACTCTAGCTGTAAATTTTGTTGCTTTCATTTGTTTTTGTTTTTTATTGTTGATTTTAAATATTCGTTCTACTTTTTTGCAGGTTGACTGGCAGGGATTGCAGAGGCAAGTTTCCTACGTGGACTCAAATTTTTCAAGTAAAATGTCGGCCAGTGGGCCTTCACCCAAGAAGGCGCGAAAGGAGGGTTCAGTAGAGGGAGATGAAGGAAGAGACTATGATGTTGAAACACAAAAGGCTCTTGAAGAGATTGACGCCTGTCAAAATGAAATTGATGTTTTAAATGAAAAAGCTAGCGAAGAGATCTTGAAAGTAGAGCAGAAATACAACAAACTCAGAAAACCTTTCTTTGAGAAGCGAAATGATATTATTAAGAGGATACCGAATTTCTGGGTAACTGCTTTTGTGAACCATCCTCAAATTTCTGATATCCTTGAAGAGGATGAAGAAGATGCTCTTCACTACATGACTAAATTGGAAGTGGAAGAGTTTGAAGACATTAAGTCAGGCTACAGAATTAATTTCCACTTTGGTGAAAATCCTTATTTTGACAATGATGTCCTAACTAAAGAGTTCCATCTTGGGTCATCTGGAGATCCAGCTTCTCAAAGTACAGCAATCAAGTGGAAGGGTGAAAATGATCTCTCCAAGAAAAACAAGGAAAGAAATGGCGTCAATAAGGGGAGGAAACGTTTCATGGAAACTAAAACCTTCTTCAATTGGTTTGCTGATCACACTGATCCCTCAGCTGACGATGTTGCTGAATTGATAAAGGATGATTTGTGGCCTAACCCGCTCCAATATTATCTTGTTCCTGACATTGAAGTCGAAAATGGTGTTGAAGGTGATGAGGAAGGAAGTGGGGATGACGACTCAGTGGTTGTGGAAGTAGAAGGGGAAGAGGAAGAAGATGATGGTGGAGATGGTGAAGAGGGTGGGGAGGAGGATGGGGGTGAGGAAGGAGTTGATGAAGAGGGTGATGATGATGATGCTTGAAAACCATGTGATGATGTTATGGACATGATCTTGTAAAACCGAGTGGACTGCCTCAATCAAGTAGAGAGCCTCTCCTTATATGAAGATTTGAATCGGTAGGGAAGAATGAGCAGACAAGTTTTAATCCTTTTTGATGTATAGAAACACTTCTGTGAATCATTTACTTGTAAAAGTTTCTCTTTACCATTGCTGTAGGTTTCTTTCCCCTTGTTTTGCCTCATTTATTCCTGTTCATGCTGTTGTGTTGACTAGCCATGTGAAATTGTAATAAGTGTGTGAAAGTGTGAGTGTGTGCAACAGGATTATTTTTATATTTTGTATGTATTTCGTTTAGATTTTTTTTGGGAGCACTGCAGTGGGGAGACGTTTCATCTTTTCTGTTCTTTGATGCATGACACTTTTAGTGGATCTTTGATTCCCTTTTGTTTTATTGTTCTAAATTTAACAACTTGTATTAGACTTAAAAATTATGTCACCATCAAGAGATCTTTATAGTGTAGCAGCATAATCTGTACTAGAATTAATTGACCTTAATTAAATATATTACATGGTATACTTATCTTCTGCTTTATTTCATTTTTAAACTTCCTTCAAAATATTTTGAAAGCCAAGTTAATTTTCTCACTGTGTGCGTTGCTTGAGCAGATGCATAAAAAAATTGGCCTGTCTCCAGTGACATTGCGAGAAGTTAGTATACATCAGTTGCTTGCCTGCTTATTATCTGACAGTTCTTTGGCACAAGAGAAAATCTACAGGGTTCATACCGGTCAGGGAAATCAGGGAAAATGAAATTGTACTGGAAATCAGGGAAAAGTCAGGGAAATCTGATAAAAAGTCAGGGAAAAATTAAGAAATATAATAGTTTGCGCGACGAGCATGGCATCGTGAACGTATGGGCCAATCTTAGCCATGACGCCTGAGTAAGAATGATTATTAACTTTCTTGACTTATCTTATTAAGCATTATTTAATTTTCTTCGATATAATATTCCGTTTTCGCCTCAATTTTGCAAAATTTGCCCTCTCTCTTAATAAAAGAATGTCAGGGAAAAACAGGTTTTTTCCATCTGGAAATCAGGGAAAAGTCAGGGAAAATGAAAATACAGATCCGGTATGAACCCTGACCTATTTTAGTCACTATATATATACAATAGAGTTCCACTGAAATATTTTTTTTGGATAATATGCCTGGGTTACTTGCTGCAACATACTAGGCAAGGTTGATCAGTAAGCTACCTGTTATTTTCTGCTAATGCAGTTTTGCTACAAAGGTGAGCTCAGAAGAGATTCTTGAATAATATGCTGGGTGCATTAAATTTGTAAATTGCCTTCAAAAGTTAAAAGAAAGTGCTACATGTAGTAGACTTCTTGATACAGTAAACAACTGAGGTATGTATGAGTTATAGGGGAAGACTGGTAAAAGATAAAGCTCTGCACAACAGACAAATAAAATTTGCCAAAAAGTTAAGATACGTAATTGTCAGTGTTTTGGGAATCTCATGGTGTTTTCACAATACTAGGTGGTACATTTTATCAAGTGCTGGTTGCCCATCCGGATGGAGTAGATACATGGATACATGGCCCCAGATGCATGTTTTAAGTTTAATCTGGGATTTTTGCCATGATGTAGGACTAAGCGTTTGGGAGAAAACACCACCTCCATCAGTAAGCTATTCCAGTTAGAGGCAAAGATCATCATTACCTTAGAGGACCCGACCAAAAGCGCTGGCCTGCCAAAATGGGCCATAATCTATTTCAAGTAAAATGTCTTACTCCCAAATCGCTGCTCTCCTTACTTTACATTAAGCAATTATTTTCCAAAACCTTTGCCTTTTTGATGGTCTGCCCCATTGAGTTTCTCAGAAGTTATCTTAAGTCTGTCAAATAACTTGCTCCCAAATTATTGAAGACAACAGGCAATAACTACTTGAATTTAAATGTAGCTTCTCAAAAATTTCTCTAGGACTTGAAGTGGTGTCAACTCACTGACCTTATCAACTATGAAGTCAGCCGAGTTCTATTCATCTGAGGCTTTACTATATCTCTGCCAATAATTCTTTTTAGAGAGGTTTTCTGACAGCTTGCAGAATTACAACATTAAAACCCATGCCATGCACACAGTTGTGTTACAAAGTGCACTCGGATAATCTTCCGCAGTAGGACTCTGAGGCATGTGAAAATTGGAAGGTCATTTAAGTCAGGTTTGGAAGGGAAGTAGTACCAGACACAAATGTATAGTCTATAAATATTTATTTGCCATCAAAACAGATTTTAAAATTCTGCAAAAATATAGTTTTTTTTTATTAATTAAAAGGTTTTATCATTTCAACCAGATATTAAGATTAGCTAAAGATTAGATTAACTTGACTCAAAGTATTTCCCCAGATTGAGGAATCTCCCACGGTGAGGAGGTAAACACAAAGATAGAACACATATTACACACAAGATTCACTCAATTTCTCAATACCATTCACAAAAATATAAGATCAGCATAAATCAAGGAGAATTGAGTCCTGTAGTACACTTGATATATTGTAAAGAAAAATAAATCACACATGTACTAGGATAATAAATTCACCAGGAATGGTAACACTAAATCATTCACACAGTATTCAGACTACAATTCACAAATGGCCCCAAAGTAGGCCTGAGATCCTGGATTTTAATAAAATCACATACAATTCTGTGCAAGTACATCTGAAGCTTAGTTTTGTCAAAACTATGTGATGTTCACTGAGGCATTTTTATTATAAAAACCTCATGTGAACACCACAAGTTAAATTTTAAAATGAAAATCTGGATATGAACCTCTAGGACTAGATAGATTGATAGCGACTCCACAAGAACAAACAAGTCTGAAAGAGGCTTATCCTAAGTAAACCTCCTTTAGGGAGGAAACTTCTACAGAAAACATCCCATCCCAATTGCACTAGCTCTTACAAGAACATAAACATCTGTTTTACCTTGAAAGTTAACATGTCAGGCAGTTGTAAAATAGTGAAAAACTTCACATTAACAATGTTGATCAGAGCAACAAAACATAAAATAACAACAAGCACAACAAATAAAAAATATCCTTTTACATCACTGAGAAAAGCAGAAGTTGAGCCGATTTTGCCTCCCAGGTTAAACAGAGTTTACTAATCACAAAATAAAACAAAACAAAACACAAAAGAAAAAAAAGAATTAATTATTCTATCTAATTTGCCACAACGTGGCTCAAAGACCAAGCCTTTTCATTCCCACACCTCTAGGATACAATCTATTTTTGCCATCACCACCATTCCATGATTTGCTTTTGGACCTGAATTTGCGGAGGTCATTTTCATGGTCAGGGTGGTTCATGGGGCGGTATGCCTGTGGATCACACAGATCTTCATACTTTGAATAAAATTGTTTGTAGCCACCATTCAGTAGGTACATTTCAGGGTAATCCAAGGCAGGATAGCATTCCTTGTTGGTATCACGGTCAGAGTTGCGCAAGAAGCGTGACCTGTAAGAAATAGGAGGAATTTAGTGGCAATTCTAAGCAAATTTTTAATGACCTAAAAAATACTGATGTTGAGTAATGTGTACTTACAAGTTTGGCCCTCTCTCAGATGAAAATTCACAATGGAAGATAAGAATGGTACGCTTGGAGGCAGCATTTACATCTGAAGCATCTGGTTTGTTCACACCATCTTTGCTGTTTACAAACTCCTTCATAATTTGTTCCTTGGTATAGAAATTTTTAGCTCCACGTATGTGACCACCTTCAAATTCATAAGGATACCTACAATGATAAAAAATAGACAAACATTAGATTTTGGGACTGAGCACACAACAGCTACACAAGTTAATGCTAGCAATATATAGTGGGAGAGGTAGTAGAGTAGAACTACTTTTGAACTCACCTGCAGTCAACAACTGTATAGCTTGCAATTTCGTCCCGGTACTCTCCCCTCATTAAAGATGCTAGAGTGTCCACAGATATGCTCTTGAGATCTTGGTGGCGCCCTTCCATCAGAGGCAAGGCAAATGGCTTGCTGAAGTCACCAATGAGATCAGGATTGGTGGAGGCCCTCAGGAGTGCAGATTTGATGGTTGCTTCAGATTCTGAATGGCAGCGCTGAAGTTTGGGCGGTGTAGGTCTTTGGAAGCCAAAGGGTGAGAGGCTGCTCTGAGGTGAGGTATTTTGGTTGTCTTGAATGGACTGGAGTGATTTCCTTTTCTTTACTTGTATGGGGCTGTGCTTGCCAGTTGGGGGTTCCGGACGTTTGAAGGAGCCATTAACTGAAAGGCGCAATGAGGAGAGTGCACTGGAGGCCAATTGTGAGACTGGTGATGCAGCCTCAGGGTTGGGTGAAGATGAGAAATCTGATGACTTGTCCAAAGTACGGACAACATTGTTAGGCCTAAAAAGGGAGGTGCGAACCTAGAGGAAAGAAACTTGAAGTTAGCAAATGGTTGAACATATTCAGAGAATTCATTGGATGTAAACTAGGGGAGTATATTTACCTTAACCACCCTGCTGGAGGCAGGTGTAAAGCTATCATTGGTGGAGAGTGAGCGCCGGAATGATGGTTTAGGGATTTCCTCAGAATGATTTGGTTGGGCCAGGTGATGAAGCATAGGGCTGTCAGAATAAGGTGAGAAGCACATGGGTGATGTACCACTCATTGCTGCACTTGGTGCAGGCACTTTCTCTTTGTGGATACTTCCGGAGAGCAGGTCACTCATTCCAGTTGGGAGCTGAGTTTCTTCATCCTGAGAATCAAAAATAGGCACCATTACTCTCTGATCAGTGTCCTTACAGCAAAGGATGTATATGACGCTAGCAATTCAACTTACCATTTTGTCACTCATGAAAAGTTCCATAAATCCATCATCAATAGATTCACTGCCGGAACTGGATGTTCTGCTGTATAGGGATGATGGCTGCATAGAGGATGACCGCTTGCTTTGAGGTGAGGGTGTTAGCTCTTTCCTTGGTGATGGCTCAACAGGTGTTTTCCGTGGGGCCATACGGAGTGGCTCAGCAAAGCGGAACATTGACTTTGCATCATCACTGGAGAAGCAGGCGCCATACCCACTGTCTTGGGAGTTGGGGTCCTGGTCCTCCAAAGGCTGCCTCACTCTTGGGCTGATGGTTTGCCGAAGTGAAGCAAACTACAGAGGAGAAGAGGTGCACATTTAATACATTGATGACTTAAAAAAACTTTGAATTGTTTTCTATAATACAATACTCACCTTAGAGGGGCTTGTGAAAGTTTTGGTTGGGCTAGCCAGATATAGCTCAGCCCCGTCAAGAGAGGTGACATTCTCCTTGTTGAAGTCACCCAAGACAGGGCTGGCCCTGTCGATGGTCAGGGACAGGTTCATCCGGACTTGGATAGGGGCGCACTGGCTCTGGCTGAGTGTACTCTGCTTGACGGCCGTCTTCAGAAGCCTGGATAACAACAAGCAACACATCAGCCTGGTGTTGTACAAGAGCTGGTGGGGGGGTCGCACCCTAACCTTACTCCGCCCGTGGGTCGGAGCGTCTAGCCTGGTCTAGCCGCGCGGGGAAAGATGGGTATTCTTTTTTGTAGCCGAGGGGGGCAAAGAGGCCAAGCACTTCGGCACGGTCAGCGACTGGTCAAGCTTCAGCGGGGGCCCCTCAGGACTGCGAGTACTTACGCCGACCGGGTGCCGGCGGGGACGTCGGCATCGCAGCGCAACAAGCTCTGCTCCGGGTCGCGGAAGGTGGCTGGGGCGCCAAGGAAGGCTAGCCAAGGCCCGGGGCGGGGCGCGGCGGGGGTCGCCGGGTCGCGTTATCGCCGAGGGCGTTGGGAAACGGGAACAAGCTTGGCGGGCAAGCGCGGCGCCAGGGGCCCAAGTTTCTCGCGAGCGAGCGACGATTCACGGTGTCTTGCCGTCGTAACCCGTTCCCCTCCCAGCCCGCGCTCGGGTCGGCACTGCAGCCAACCTGCGGGCGGACGACGCGCGCGAGCGCCGCCCCGGTTGGTACGCCTCCCGGCGGCAGTGTTTGAACAGCCGCGACCCGACCGGCGGCACGGAGGCGGCCGACGGGATACTAGAACGCCCGGGGCCGAGACCGACGCCGAGGAGGGCGTGTCGGTGGCCAGCACCACGACGACGACCGAGAGCGACGCCCGGGCCGGCCTCGCTGGAGGCCGGTGGGGCGGGGCCGAGCAATCCCCTCGGGGTTGAGGAGGAGTGCATCACAAGCTTGGACCAGAGCGTCGCGTACGAAGAGTGCGGGGGCGGAGAAGGCGGCGGCGAACAGGAGTAATCCAATCGTAAATCCATGGCGTTTGGCGGTGATATGTACCTGGTGCAATCTCCGCAGCCTTCGCAACTCTGACAGAGGTTAGTCCAGCTGAGCATAGTCTGGCACTTGGCTGAGCAGCAGCCGCTAGAACGGAGCGAGCTGCCTTTTCGGTTCGGAAACTTCACGGTGGAGGTGCGGGTCGCGCCGTGAAGTCACACTCGGTAGTGACTTGATTGCGTTTTGTTTAGGTTGACACACAACAAGCTCAGCTCCCCGGGACAAGGAGAGGAGCTGTAGCTGTGACCGTCCTGGAGCGAGTCGAGGCGAAGACTGACTTGGGCTTGGCCGCGCGCCGGGCTGCCGGGCTGCCTCACTCACGTCCTCCCTCCCGTCCTGCGTCGACCCCCTCCACATCCACGTCGTGCACCCCCGGCCCGCCAGGCCCGACGGCCCGCCCCTCCTAGTCCCGCCCCTGGCGCGGTGGGGGGAAGAGCTCTGCCTCGTAAGCTGCTCGGCGGAGGCGAGCCGAAGCCGGGCCGAGCGGCGGCCGAAGCACTAAGCGCGCACCAGAGTGTGAACGGAGTAGTGGGGGGTGTCTGTCTGGGGAAGGGGCTACTCACACACTCACACATACACACACATACACAGACACACACGCGTGCGAGCGGAAGAAAAACCAGGCCATAAGCTCCCACAAAGTCGAAGGCAACGCCAGGGCCGCCGCCTACGACCCCGGGACCCCCGGGCCAATCATGCACAATGTGTGTCATCGTTTAGGCGCCAGACACACTCGCCGCAGCCGGACGCGCTACCGAGGCCCGTTTTTATCGTTACCCCGCCCCCTCCCCATCCTCCAAACACACACTCATGATCCAGAGCGAAATGGGAGGTTGGGCGCAAAGCCCGCCTTTCACCCTCTTCACGTCCCTCCGCTCCGCTGCTGCCTCTGCGATGCGGGCCGCGCGGATGTTAGATTCGTTGGGGTGGCCGGCATAGTCAGCGCACCGTGTCGGCCGGCCCGACAGCCGTCAGCAGGCCGCGGGGAAGGGCCGCGGGAGGGCGCCTGCAGGCAGGGCAGGGAAGGGCGATGGCTTGGCCGGGGGAGCTCTCCTCGGTGAGTGCACTCGGAGAACACCCACCCGTCCTCTCCCTCTGCCCCCCCCCCTCGGCGAGTCTTGGGTACTTGCAGTACTTCATGGAGTACTCGTCAGAGTACCTCCGGGGCCCTGCACAGCGGCAGCTCGGCCTGGGCAGTTTGCCGCGGTGAGTGCACTCGAGGAGCATCTACATCCCGCCGCCCCTTGCCTCGCGCCCTCCTCGGCGAGTCCCGGGTGTACTTAGGTACTCGCAGTACCCGGCGAGGCCCCGCCCGCAGGGGCTGCCGGAAGAGGGCGTGATAACCTTACGGTAGGCAGGTTGGTTCGGAAATGGTACATATCCTCCTGGGAGACCCCACACCACGCGCTCAGAGTGGCCTCAGCAGAGTGCCCCGTCCCCGTCCTCCGGGTACGCGGGTATGTAGTACGTGCTTCGGGACCATTTCGCCGCCAGAAGTGCTTCGGCGGGGGGCAGGGGGCATCCACCTCTCACTCCCCCCCCCCACCCCCCTCCCCAATTGCCGCCTTGTGGCGCGAAGGAGGAGCCACAACCGTTCGAGTTCGAGTTCAAAGCATCGACCTTCCTCAAGAACCTAGCTTCTAAACAGTAAAATATAATACAGCAGTTCGGGAGCGACCGTAACGAACTGTATTGTTTTCGATATGGATGAATTTTAGTCGTTTTTGTTCATAGTAAATTTGGGCTCACAATCGAACACCGGTGGGACAGACGCGAAAAAAACAGAACTTTTCACTTAAATAAACCAAAAGGTTGTTGGCCGTCCTACTTGCGAGGGGACCTCCCACCGTTTCATCATGCACTGGTCCAGTCCGCTCCACTTGTATAGCAGACTGTACCGCATGCAGGCGTGTAGGCGGGCTGCCTACTCGCCGCGGGGCAGGGCAGGAGGCGTCTTTGCCTGCGTGCGGTATGTAAGTACAGTGCAGCCTAAAAGTAGGTTTTTGGCGCGCGCGCGCGAGCAGGGGCGTGTAGTGAGAGAGGCTGTCGACCCCCCCCCCCCCCCCCCCTCTTTTCCACTTGGCGCGGGGCCCCGCGGGACGGGCGGCCAGGTTCGACGGCCTCTGGCCGTGTGGCGTGGCCCGCCCCGCCCGACTCAGGTTCAACCCGTTGCGGGGCGGGGGTCCCAGATCGCACCCGCGAGACCTCGCTTGCAGTCCGGCCCCACGAACGTTTTTCGTCTCGATCTCCAGCACTCTGTCCAATCAGCAACTCGACACATTATCATGTTGCAAATTCCAAAATAATTTCCGATCCGCCCTTCCCATGAAAGGAGGATCGCGGTTTCGGCGATAGGAAGCATTTCCCGCGCGCAGGGAGAAGCAGCAGCAGCCTCTTCGCGCCAAAGTAACGGTGCCCGTCTCATCCCGGGCCTTCTCCGGATCCACGGCGGCGCTGGCCTCGGAGGGGGATCCCGACCCTTCGCGGGCGCGCGGGGAACTCTAAGGGGAACCCTCCCCGGTGACCGGGCCCGAGGCCGCGGGCCGCGCGGCGGTCCAGACCTGGAAGGCCATCCCACCATCCCCCTCGGGGTCATGCGCTGCTCCGGGACGACGGCGGCGGCGGGGGAACCCGGCGCGGCCGCGCCAACAAAGGCAATCGAATCGAAATTTTAGCAGCTTGATTTTGGCGACAATGGATGGAGGGGAAGAAACAGTAAGACGGCGGGGACGACGGGGAGCGCGGCTCCCCCCCAACGTCTTGTACTCGTCTCGGAGTAGTGGTTGTAGTGGTAGGGGTTGCCCCGGCGGCGCGTGCGAGCGCGACAGCTGCCAGCTGCGCGGCGCGGAAGGGCGACCGGCGGGGCAGGGCGGGCGCGACCGGAGCGGCCGGCTAGAGCGGCCGGAGCACAGCTGGCGGCGGCGCGGGGTGACCGGTGACCGCCACTGGACATTTAGTAGTGTGCGTCTCGCGACGTTATTATAACAATAGACAAATTAAAGTGAAAAATTTAAAATCCCAGCGCGGCTAAGAGCAATAGTGGGTCGCCAAGAAACCGTGAGGGCCCGTACCCTACTTTAATTCAAATGAATCATTTTCAAGGGGTGGGGCACTTTTCTCACGGCTCGGCGGCAGTCATACTGGAAAGCAAGGGAGTTGAAGGAAATTCATTTTTCAGGCGCTTTGGTAAAGTTTACCCAACCAGGGAAAATTACGCCCTGGGATACATTTCTCATGGACCATTTCCGCCATTCCGGCGCTATAATGAAGTTACCCCACCAGTAGAAAAATACATTTTTCATGGGCCTTCCTTTTATTCAGATCAAGTTTATCCCGCCACGAAAGATGAAAACAACAAAATACGCACGGGGGTGCATTCATCATGGTCTAATTAATGTACACATAACCATAAAGGGTTGCCGTGGAAAGAGTATCCCCACCCGTTTTAGTTGGTGGAATGGAAAAGGCGCGAGGAGGGGGGTGGGGGAGGGGGAGGGCTCGACCCGTATACGTTCGTTGAACCCTCGCCTCGCTGCCTTGCCGCGCAGCGCAGACTGTACACGCCGCGACCCCGCGCGCTCATGTGCACCCCT